CCTTTCCTTTCCTTTCCTTCCCTTCCCTTCCCTTCCCTTCCCTTCCCTTCCCTTCCCTTCCCTTCTTCTTTCCTTCCTTTTTTCTTTCCTTTCCTCTGAGGCTGGGTGGGGATGTGAGAGAAGAAGGGAAAAGTTGGAGAGCTAGAACAGCTTTTCCAGCTTACTGCAGGTAGGGAATAGTTTGGTGTGAATATAAGCATACAACATCTTTCCAGGGAAAATTTGACTAAAATATTTGATAGTGATTTCTTTCTATCCCTAAACCATTTATGAACAGAAATGTTCATTCATGAAGAATCCATGAAATATCCCACCCACTTGAAACATTTCTGTCTTCCACAAACATTATCAAATCATCTCAATTAGAACAGGATTACATACAGAGCTTCAGAAATGAATAGTGGCTAAGTATTGCTTAACAAACTGGCTTACTTGTATGTCATTTTTCCCCTACATATTGGAATCCTTTAGTGTTCACTGGGAATAAGTAGACTGAATTCAGTGAGGATGCATTTGAGTGGAAGTGTGTGTTATAAGGCTGAAACACTAGCTATGCATCTATACATAATTTCCAACAAATTCTGTAGAAAAGACTTCTGAGTAACAAAAAATGCAGAGAATTAATCTGTACATCTTTTGGAAAGATATTGTTCCTCAAATCCCTGTTAAATATATTTGCATTTGTGTTGTGTAGTTTAGTTCACATTTTACCAAACCTACCTGACATAACTATTGCTATTTTGATCTCATCTTACTTTGCACTATCCTAACCAAATAAATAATCTTGTTATCAGAAGAAGACTGTAGTTCTTTTTTGTCCCCCACATCTTTTTCAAGCCTTTTCTTGTGGAATTTCTTCTTAACTTGACACAAGAAATTCCTGCCAAGATACCACCTTACACAACTGATTGAATATTAACAGATTTCATACTGAATGGAGATATTTGTTGCTTTTCAGAACTGAAAAGCAACAGATAATACAGTAGCATCCTTAAAGTACATTGGGGGTTTGCAGAATAGGATTACTTAATAAAGTGGTGTAGATAATGCAGTATAAATGGTCCAAGGGGCCACGTTCCTCCTGGGAATTATATTCTAGCAATGGGTTACCACACCCTCTCTCATAGGCACACAATACCCATTAAATGTACATATATACCCAGTACATACCCCCAAATTCACGCACTTTCTTCCCTTCATATCATCTTTTCCCCAGTCCCCTCTTTCTGCCCCTCTCTGGTACCTTTTACCCACTAAAGACAATGGGATGCTTTTCAAGCTAAGGAGAAAGTCATGTCTGTGGGAATAGTTGCAGGTGAATTAACCACTTCTTCCCTAGCTGATATTGATATAAAAATTATAGCAGGTTGGGATAGGAAAATAGAAGAACCAGCTTCTAAAGAAGCTTTCTTGGGAGAAGCAGGGAGGGATGCACAACTGGAGAGGAAAAGCATTGGATCAGATGGAAAGGCCAAGCATGCTGGATCATGCCTGGGGTCACTAGT